GTACAAAAAGCTGTTGAAATTGTTTCTCAGAAGAAGTCATAGTTATTGTACAACATATACAGTGTTGTATAATGTATAGTGCCAAAATTATTTACAATAGTTCATGTATATGTGGGAAAAAATTGTAAACTTATAACAAAATTATAAAGTGTTAATAATGCAAGTATTATTATTTTGACTACACAAAATATATAAAAAATAATCATTTTAATATTTTGACTACACAATTTTTTATTGATCAAATGAAACTCAAAGATTTATAAGTTGGTTTTTTTTTTTCCTTTCATTTTACGGTTTTACCATCTCTATACTTACGTCAACCAGTAAAGGAAGGATTCGCTTTGTACACGTCATCGTATTTTATTGGGCCGGGCCGAGAGTGGGTGAGAGTTTTTTTTTGTTTGTTCACTCTCACTTGACCATAATCCGGTTGCGTTGACCATACGCACCTTACTAACTAACAATAAAGCGTCTCCGTGAAAAAGAAGGTTTCTGCAAAAACCACCCTTTTTCAAACGCCGGCGAAGAAGAGCGAAGCGAGTGAGAGAGTGAAGAGGGAAAATCGAGAAATCGCAATGTCTGGATTTCCGTCGTTTGGTCAATCCTCCGGTGGAGGTTTCTCCTTCGGATCTTCTTCCGTCACTGGATCCTCTTCTGCTTCATCTACCGCATCACCACTAGGTTTCTCCTTCAACCAATCTTCAAACCCTAGCTCCACCGGATTTGGTTTCGGATCCACCGTATCGGCTCCGGCTTCCTCCACAACTCCATCATTCGGATTTGGAGCCCCAACATCCACCGTATCAGCTCCGGCTTCCTCCCCAACTCCATCGTTTGGGTTCGGAGCCCCAACATCCACCGGATTCGGGTTCGGATCCTCCGCTGCTTCTTCATCTCCGTCGTTTGGATTTGGAACCGCTGCGTCTTCTTCTGCTTCTGCTCCTTCACTGTTTGGATCATCTACCAATGCTCCTAGCTCTTCTCCTTTCGGATTCGCAACTACTTCTTCTTCAGCGAATGTTTCAGCACCATCTCCGTTCGGAGCTTCCTCAACTCCGTCTTCATCTCTCTTCGGAGCTCCAGCCAGTGGTTCATCGTCTCTGTTTGGATCTTCTTCCTCACCTTTATTCTCCGCTCCTTCATCTACCGCCGGCTCGAATCCCCCACTCTTTGGAGCTTCCTCATCAGCCGCTGCTTCAACATCCCCCTTATTCGGCGCGCCGTCTTCAGCCACTGGCTCGTCACTGTCCTTCGGCGTCGCCTCATCAACCGTCAGCTCCTCTCCGTCCCTCTTTGGCGCGCCGACGTCGTCAGCTTCTGGCTCCTCACCGTCTCTCTTTGGTGCGCCGTCGTCAGCCTCTGGCCCCTCACCGTCTATCTTTGGAAACACCGGTTCGTCACCGGCTATCTTTGGGTCGTCTTCCACACCCGGTTCAACACCGTCAATCTTTGCATCGCCTTCTTCAGGCGCAGCAGCTTCTTCACCATCTCTGTTTGGAGTATCCACCATCAATTCTTCAACTACTACCAATCCCACGCCTGCTTCTACGGGATTCCCTTTCTTGAAAAGCACTACTTCTGCTCCTTCACAAACGGT